CCCTCCCTTCCTCCCTCCCTCCCTCCCTCCTTCCTTCCTTTCTGTTTTGGTTTTTCAAGACAAGGTTTCTCTGTGTAGCCCTGGCTGACCTGGAACTTGGTATGTAGACCAGGCTGGCTTCAGAGATTTGTCTGCCTCTGCTTCCCATGTTCTGGTATTAAAGATGTGTGCCACCACCCCTGGCTGTATTTCTTCTTTTACAAACTGTTCATTTTTTTTATCCTTTTTTTTTTTTAAATTGGATTACTTGCTTACGGTTTGGTTTTCATATTCTAGACATTGACCCTCTGTCACATATAACTGGCAGACTTCCACTCTGAACTTTCTTTGAGAGGTTAATCGTCTCTTTTGCTAGGGAGCATTTTAATTCCTCTAGGTTCACCTCCTTTCCTCCAGTCCCTGCACCTTGAAGCATCTCTACTTCTAGGAGTTTCACAGGGTGCAGGGTTTTGTGCAGTACCAGATAAAGATACCATGTCATTCTTCTGCTGTACTTTGCATAAGCTCGAATGACCTAGAAGGAATTGCAATTGACTACTGCCTGGACCAGGTTGGCCTGCGGCCATGTCTGCAGGACTCTGGCATGATTGTGAGTAGTCCTATCACTAGGCAGGTGGTCTCAGCCTGTAGAAGAGCTCAAGGTAGCTTAAGCAGGAGCCAGTAAACAACATTCCCCCAGGGTTTCTGCTTCAGTTCCTGCTTGAATTCCTGTCCTGACTTTCCTATGTGGGTTATGACCTGCAAGCTAGGAAGAAATCCTTTCCTCCTCTAAGTGGCTTTGGGTCATAGTGTTTGTCACAGCAACAAAAACCAAACCAGAATGGCAACTGGTGTCCAGTGTTTCCAGAATCCTCTGTTAAAGAGGCTGTCTTTCCCCTGTTAGGTGTTTAAAAACTAGGGTTCTAGAGAAACATGAAGTTGGATTGTTCTTCAGGGAAATTTCAGATATAGTTGTGCATTCAGAAGCAAAAAGCTTCATCTTACCTAGGACAGAACCTGTTCTTTTAAGGTCCTTTGAGAGAAAGGGGGAGGGCAGGTATTGAGCCACAGAAAATGGGGCCAAGGTTGGGTGACATCATCTAATTAGGCTAAGACATTTTGTTTTCTGTATTTCTGGCTGAGGCAAGTGTATGAAGGTCTCAAGTACATTTCAGGATAAGGGACATCAGGAAGAACGACAGGCCTAGTTAGTGTGTGATGTGACAATTCACTTGTCCTGCCTGTAGCTCTTGTTTATGATTTTGCTATCTGAAAGGGGTCATTCCCAGGAATGGGGGTGGGGCAGTGAAGTACTTGGATATTTGTCGGGGCTGGGAGGGTAGACTGCATCTGGGCGTGGCCTTGTCTACAGTTTACAGCAGCTGAGGGGAGAGACTGCACCTGGAGTGTCTGGATTTTAACATTATCCAGGATTTTGGCATGTTTGTCAAACACCAGGGGGTTACATGGTGGATACAGCTACATGGACTGTATCTTGATCTTCTGTTCTGTTCTATTTACCCACATTTCTGGTTCTTACCATGCTGCATTTGTTATCATGCCTCTGTAATAGAACTTAAAATCATGTATGGTCATACTTGGAACTAAATTATTTTTCTTTTAAAAGTACATCATTGGGCTGGAGAGATGGCTCAGAGGTTAAGAGCAATGCCTGCTCTTCCAAAGGTCCTGAGTTCAATTCCCAGCAACCACATGGGGGCTCACAACCATCTGTAATGGGGTCTGGTGCCCTCTTCTGGCCTGCAGGCAGACACACAGACAGAACATTGTATACATAATAAATAAATAAATATTTAAAAAAAAAAAAAGTACATCATTTACTCAGACATGGTGATGCATGCAGTTAGGTCCAAAGAAAGCTTCTAATTCCCCCGACTCCAAAAAGCAGACCAAATAAATGTCCAGAAATGTGTTCAATCTGGACTATGGAGGATTCTTGGCAGTTAGATAAAAGCCAACATTCCTCAAGAACTTGTGAAGTCAGTTCCTTTCTACCAAACGGAGTCATTGCCCTTACCTTTGGCAGAAGGGACAAATGGCAACCTGTGGTGTCTACGGGCATATCGAAGTGCATGCTGGCCTCCATGCTCCTTAGGTATCTCAAGTACCTGTTACACATTTCAAAGTCCACTAGCATCCTCGTCCGCCCCCCCCCCCCCCCACCCCGGCTCACGGCTTCCCTCCCCGAGCTGCTATTCTCCTCTCTCATTGTTCCTGGCCAGGTCCAGTCTACTTCTCTTTCTTCTCTGGGTTCTTCCAGATGCCTCTGGATATTCTATCTTCCTCTTAACCATGGAGGAGTCATGTTTATACATACATTAATTCCAGGAAGCTAAAAACTATCTAAAAACCTAACATGTATACACAAATGGTATATAAGCATACAGCTACCCCCAATAATGCCTGTTTTTACTTTGATGACACAGAATAATTAAGTAAAATGCCTTCGCAAACTTTTTGGCTAGGGAACTGAGTGGTATATTTGGGACAAGTAAAACAAAACTGAGGTGTTGTCAGAAAGGGAAGAAAAATGACCATCAAAACCTACTGCCGGGGGCTAGAGAAATGGCTCAGTGGTTAAGAGCACTGACTGCTCTTCCAGATGACCCGGGTTCAATTCTCAGCAACCACATGGCAGCTCACAACTGTCTGAAAATCCAGTTCCAGGGGATCTGACACCTTCAAACCAATGCACATAAAATAAAGATAAATAAATCATAAAAAAGTTTAAAAAAAAAACAAAAAACCTACTGCCCTGACAGTTCAAACAAGCTCAGCCTAGTTAAGACCCTGAAAAGAGGTGGATAGATATTTGTAAAAAGGGGTAAAAAGTCTTTAACCGATGGTAAAGACTCACCTTAGACTGGGCAGCCTTTGAATAGTGACCCAGACATAAAGTAGTCCAAGGCTGGCTGGAGAGATGGATTGGCAGTGAGCAACTTTCCTGTTCCTCCAGAGAACCTGACTTCAGTTGGCCAGCATCTACTCTAGGCAGCTCCCAACTGCCTTTAACTCCAGGGCATACAAGGTACTAGCACTCACCGTTCCCAGTTCCCATATTAAAAATATAATCTCAAAGACATCCAAGAAAAAAGCAGTATTGCTTCAGGCTGTTGGGCTATCCTTGTAGCTACCATCACACTCATGCTTCTTGGGCCTTAGAACATGTTTATACTAAAGTTAATCCCTTCAGCACATGGCTGGGATAGCTGAGCTGAGGCTTCTAGCTTCATGAAGCTAAAGAACTGTTAATCTTGGGCTGGTGAGATGGCTCAGAGGTTAAGAGCATTGCCTGCTCTTCCAAAGGTCCTCAGTTCAATTCCCAGCAACCACATGGTGGCTCACAACCATCTGTAATGGGGGTCTGGTGCCCTCTTCTGGCCTGCAGGCATATACACAGACAGAATATTGTATACATAATAAATAAACAAATATTTAAAAAAAAAAAAAGAACTGTTAATCTCTCCATTATGCAGTCAATGTTGGGGCTACCCAGCTCATACTGACTGTAAAATCAATGTATATAAATGTGTGGTGATATATGTATTTGTGATCCCGGTACTCATGAAGTAGGAACAAGATATCAGAAGTTTAAGGCTAATCTGGGATATGTGAGGCTATTTCAAAATAACAAACCAGAATGTGCCTGGGAGGCTGACTGAGAATGACTATTCAAGGAGAGCTTGAATTACAAAGAAGCCCTGTCTCAAAACTAAAAAAGGATGAACTCTATGATTAGATGTTTCCACCCTCATTACAGAGCAAATCAGACAATGACAAAGAAGACATCACATAAAGGAATATAAAACTATTTATTGACCACTGTTCACCATTATTTACAATAAAGTAAATATACAGTTGGATGACATTCTGATACTACAAAGTTACTTTTCTGGCTCATTGAACCAGAACCCAAATACTGAAAAGATTGCTCCTACCAGTAAGGAATGAGACAGGGTAAAGAAAAAGCATGCAAGTCATTAGTTTATATTACCAAATTTTGTTCATTTATGTCAGTAGATCTGAAATTGCCAACATCATCTCTAACCATGATTCTATTTCCACAGCAAACAGATATTCCAAACTTCATAACCTTTTAGTAGATTTCAACTTTCTACAAAGGAATGGTTCACTAGAGGAACCCTACATGCTTAGTTGTCTTTTTGCTTAATTTTTAGAGACAGGGATTCTCTGCACAGCCCTGGCTGACCTGAAACTCAATAAACCTGGCTGATCTAGTCTAAATCAGAGACCCACCTGCCTCCAAAGTGCTGGGATTAAAGGCACATGCCACCTCACCCAGCATAAGTCTTGTTATTATTAAGTCATACTGCTACTTTGTCTAATTCCATTTTCTGAAGGGGTAGTTTGTAAGGACAAAATTTTGTAAACAAACTACTGTATGTGATAATAGATAAATTCTGATGTGGATGCTTTAAAACTATCCAGTGAATTACAGAACTGTCTACTTGATCTGAAAGGTTATGGTTTCAGGAAAATGTTCACAAGGGAGGAATCTCAACACATGTTTTCATCTACAGTTTTTGAGTATTAAAAACAAGACAAAATGAAAAACAGTTACATAAGGGTCTTATGCACACACAAGCTTACAAACAAAAAACCCAGAATGGTCCTTCTGTGTCCCAGTTAAAAATAAGTTCTGATTGAGTAATGACTGTAAAATCTCCCCAGCATTTAAGAAAAGCTGTTCTTCAAAGCTGAGGAAATACAACATGGTATTAAACATTCTACTGTTAAAAGAAGCAACTACAGAAAGCTTTTATTTGCTCAAAGGAATCAGTGCCTTTTGATGCAGAACAAAAACCAAAAATATCCCAACTACTGTCAATACTTTCAAAACCAGCATATCAAACTCGATTTTCATTAGAATGCTATCTTTTCCACACTAGTAATTCAAAACTCAAGATCCAGATTTTATATATATATAAATATATATAAAAATGCAAACAATTATTGCGCCTCGTCTTCTGGACAAGAATGCCAAGTCAGCCTTTCCTCATAAAAGGCGATGACAATCTGAGGACACTTCATATTTGCCTCCTTTGCCAGCACCAAGTCCGCCTCATCTGAGTCCTTCCTGTTGTGAGGGGGAAAGAAGGTTAACATTTAAACTGCATGTCATTTGAGCTCTATTCAATAAATACTAATTGAATAAAAATGAATGTAAATGCTACTAGATGGATGCATGGTAGTGTGGTTACATATCAATAAACTTCATTTCTCAAAAGAGGCTATACATTTCTCTTTAATCCCCCGCCAAGGGTTTTTCTGTGTAATGGTCCCGGCTGACCTTGAACTCACTGAGATCTGCCTGCCTCTGCCTCCCTAGTGCTGGGGGATTCTTATGAGTTTGAGGTCAGTCTGGACTACAGAGTAAATTTTAGGATAGCCAAGGCTGTTACACAGAGAAACCCTGTCTTGAAAAACCAAAAAAGGAAACCTTGTGTACAACTTCCAAACAATTAACACTCAAGCCAGGTGGTGGTGCACACCTTCAATACCAGCACTCAGAGAGGCAGTGGGGGGGGGGGGGGGAGAATCTCTTGAGTTCAAGGCCAGCCTGGTCTACAGAGTGAGTTCTAGGACGGCCAGAGATACACAGAGAAATCCTGTCTTGAAAAACCAACTCTAACTTCCCCCTCAAAAAAAAAAACCCCAAAACCAAAAAACCTTCTCCCTTTCAGGCCTAATTGGCAGAACTCTGAGTTGAGGTCAGCTTGGTCTACAAGAGAATTGTACATCAGCCAGGGCTACATAGTGAGACCCTGCTCAACCACCTCCCTCTCAAAAAACCCAACTGATAGACTTTCCATCCTTTTATCTTTAAACTGTATGTAATGAGGGCCAGCAAGATGACTTAGCAGGTAAAGGTGCTTGGCACACATCCTGGCAATCTAAGTTTGAACTCACGAATCTACATCTAGGTGCAGAGAATGGACTCAAAGCTGTCCTCTAACATGTATTGTGATACACATACTGCTCTCACCATTATGCATGCACACACAGAGGGAGGAAACAACCCCTCCCCCCCAAAATCACCCTAAAACCATTGCCCCACACACTTACCATTTCATAAGAAACATTAATTCTCCACTGCTATCTGTGGCACCGATTATTCGTTCAGGATCAAGACCTCTGGCAAAACCCCTTGGTTTGTCAGCCTGTTTAGAGGGTGAGGTAATAGCCTGCATAAATATGTCTACACAACAAATAAAATTAAGAACTCTATGAAATACAACTTTTATCAGAACTTCAAGCAGTGAGACAGCAACAACTAGAAAAAAAAAACCCCCAATTTACAGGGCTATGAAGAGAAACCCTGTCAGAAAAAAACAAAAACATAACCCAAATTAGATAGAGAAACATGTGTGGGGTTAGGAATGTAGCTGTAGTTCTATTGGCAGCGTATTTGCCTAGTATGCAAGAAATTCTGGGTTTAGTCTAACACTTGGTAGCTGGAGGCAGGAGAATGAGTTAAGGTAAGCCTGGGCTAGAAAAGACCTTTTCTTAAAAAGCTAGATACAATTTAAAAGTCTTATTATGTAGCAGAGATTAGCCCTAAACTTTCAATCCCCAGCTTCAATTTCTTGACCATTAGAACTACAAGTATGCAACAACATACTGAGAAGTTATACACTCTTGACATTAAATTTCAAGTGCCTGTACACCTAGAACTTTAAAGGCAGAGGTATAAGTTCAAGGCTGGGCCTGGGTAAAGTGAAACTTTACCAAGAACCATCCCCCCCAATGAAAAACAAAAACAAGTAAATATGCAGCCACTTACAGTAGCACAAGCCTATAATCTCAGTATTCAGGAAGTTTTCAGTGTACCCTGGGCTACATAATAAGACTGTGGCTTAAAATATATACATCTAAGAAAACCCCAGGCTGCTGGAGAGATGGCTCAGTGGTTAAGAGCACTTGATCTTGTAGAGAACCTGGGCTCAGTCCCCAACACCCACTTGATGGCTCACAGCTATCTGTAACTTCAGATCCAGGGAATACAACTCCTAACTTCTGCGGTGGCTGCACACATGTGGTGCACATATATATATACACTTGGATTTCCTACCAATAGTAGCATTTCTAATGTAACATTAGTTATTACTCCTGGGCATCGTGATGCAAGTCTTTAATCCCAGCACTTAGGAGGCAGAAGTAGGTGATCTCTGAGGTTGATGCCAGCCTGGTCTACAGAGTAAGTTCTAGGACAGCCAGGGATATGTAGAGACCATGCCTCAAAAAAATAAACCAAAACAAATGATTAGTGACAAGAAGCCCTGGGATTGATTCAGCACTTCAATGGAAGCGGGACGATCAGGGTTTAAAGGCCAGCCTGGGCTATGAAACTATCTTAAAAACACAACCACCTTTCTCTGAAGCCTGAATTAGCTTCAAAGTCTTGAAACAATTCTCCTTAGTCCCTCAGGCGGTAGGATTTTAGGGATGAACCATTGGGCTTAGCCCTATCTTCCTTAGACACTGAAGACGCCTTTTCTCCACAGCATGTTTAACACCTAATTAGGTTTTATTTATATGCATGCTTGTATGTAAATTTTTTTTAAAAAAAATTAAAGCTAGGGTCTTAAAGCAGGCAAGGTCTGTTCTGTACCTGATGACCTCGAATTTACCCCTCAAGTGTTGGAATTATAGGTGAATGCCACCCTGACCAGTTTCCAATCAGTTCTGGCCTTAACATTTATTCTTCTTTAGCTTTTTTTTGGTCTTGTTATTTTTAAAATTTATGTGTATTTTCCTGTGTATCCATAAGTATGGGTGCTCTTAAGAGGCCAGAAAGGGTGTTGGAGCCCATGGAGCTGGAGTCACAGGCAATTCAGAGTGCCCACATGTGTTAGGAGCTGAGCTGGGGTCTCTACTGGAGCAGTCTGTGCTCTCCAATTACTGGTACTCTAAAACTGTTATCCTAAAGAAACAAAACCAAACCCAAACAAACAAAAAAGAAAAACAGATTTATGCATTGAGTGTATTTTCTGCACATACCATGTGTGTGCCTGGTGCCATGGATGTCAGAAGTGGATGGTTAGCGCCACTGAATTGGAGTTATAGATTGTTATAAGCCACCAATTGGGTGCTGGAAACCCAATGTGTCCTTTGGAAGACCAGCAAGTGCTCTTAACTATTGAGCTTAGTTCTCCGACCTAAAATTGTCTGTCCCTGACCCCTCCTTTGTGTCTCACTATGCAGACCAGGTTAGGTTGGTCTGGGAACTCAAGAGAAATCTGCCTGCCTCTGCTTCACCAGTACTGGGAAACTGAAGTCATATCGCCACCTGGCTGTTTTTCAATTTCTAAAACAAACAGTTGGTAATTATAGCACATACAATTTGAGTATATCTGAGAACTAAAGATATCAGTAAGTTAAAATTACTTGAAGTTTCATATTAATGTAACTAGGCTCTGGATTCAGACTGGGTTAGATTGACAACTCTACCTCTTTAAAGGTCTGTGGGTTTGGGGAAGTTAATTATCCAAAGTTCCTATGTCATAGGTTTTTGAAGTGTGTGAATTAAGCTGTTTAGAACACTGCTGGCTCAATATAGCTTAGGCATTCCTACCAAAGTTCTGTTTCCCTTATGTATATGCTTTACTTTCAGCTCTCCATCTGTAATAATCATGTTTTCTCATCTATTCAATTGGGTCATTATCTAGCATTAACAGTGTTGGTATTAAGATTAATGATCTATATGCAAAATTCTTGATATTAGTTCAAATGATCATATTTGAAGCTCACAGTCCTTTACTAGTTTAAAGGCAAGGGTAGAGATTATCTTATTTGTGTCACCATGAGTGGCTCTATAAAGTTTCTTTCTTTTTTTCTCAATTGGAATTTAAAAAAGTATTCTAGGGCTGGAACAATTAGAAACATCTGCTACCCTATCAAAGATTTTTTAGTTCAATTGCTAGCAGCTACATGGTAGCTCACAACCGCCTGTAATTTCAGTCTCAAGGGGTTTGATACCCTCTTCAGGCTTCTGGGAACACCAAGATGCACGTGGTACACAGACACGCAAACACATATATATGCAGGCAAAATACCATACATGTGAAAAAAAAAGTATTCTAGTTTTAGCTGGGCATGGTGGTGCATGCCTTTAATTACAGCACACAGGAGGCAAAGGCAGGCAGATTTCTATGACTCTGAAGCCAGGCAGGGCTACATGGTGAAACCCTCTCTCTAAAACAACTAATCTATTCTAGTTTTAAGCAGGCACTGTGGTGAACACCTGTAATTCCAGTGTCAGGATGTCAGAGGTAACAGGATGAGTGATTCAAGGCCATTCTCCAATACATGAGACCTTGCCTCAAACACAACCCTCAACAGGAAATTAACTATAAAGGAGAAGGGAGAGGGAGGTGAATTAGAACAAAGTATAATGATAATTATGCATGAAAATATCACAACAAAACCCATCACTTTGGAAGAACAAAATATGAACTAAATAAAAAGTATTCTAGAAGGGGGGAAAAAGGTTCAAAGTAATAAAAATTCAAGCCATTAATTGTTGATAAGACCCAGTCTAATAGGCAGTACTTATACTTACAGCATCTCTTTTCTTCTTCGATTTGCTATCATCAGATTCACTGTCAGATAAAGATTTCCTTTTTGTACCATCTTTTTCTTTACCAGCTTTTTGAGAATTAAGAAATGCTTCAATTAATTCTGGACAATCTAAATTTTCTTCTGGTTCCCAAGTATTATCAGCACTGTGTTCAGTTAAAGAAAACAAAAAGTTGATTCAATTAAACATTGCCATTACCTGGACCTGTTTACAACTACCTGAAAAAAAAAAGTTCCCATAAAATAACACTGATACTGGTAGAATAATAACAAAGAAAGAAATGCCTTTTTATTCCCTGTATTATTTAAAAATGCTTAATCTCCTTTCATACCTCTAACTGAGCAATCAGGTATTTTAACCCCAAAGGCAGCTGACCTGACTCTGTACTGAACCAATACTAGTATTTTTCTGCAACTCACTTCACGGAACCCTAGCTGGCCTCCAATTTTATGTAATCCAGTCTTCATTCTCCTGTCCCCACCTCCCAAGTACTGGAATAAAAGGAATTTTCTATCACACTCTGTCTGGTGCTGGGATGAAATCCATGGCTTTGTGCATGCCAGTCAAAGCATGCTACCAACTGAGCTACATCCCAATCCCTTGAGTTTAAAAAAAATTTTTTTTTAAAAGGTGGGGGATAGGGACATATGTACCACAAGCTGGTTGTGAAAAATTCTCAATGCTGGGATTAAAGAAGAATTCTAAAAAACAGCGATTCCTAATTCCTTATATATTATGTCCAGGTTTGGGATCTCCAATGATGTTTGGAAATAAAGATTCTGACATATTCTTATACATGAGATGTTTTCAATTTGGAAAATGATATAAAGCAGGGGCCGAGGAAGAAAAAAACAATAAATCTAGCCAGTTGTATGCGCCCCCCTGCAAAGACACTCTATCACTATGTAGCCTAGGTTGTTCTCAAACTCCTAACCTTGCCTCAGCTGTCACAGTGCTGGGATTACAGTATTGTGCCACCATGCACAGTGCCAATTTTTTCCCTCAAATTTTTTTTAAGGTTGGGAGGAAATGAAAGGAATCAATTTCAGGCAGGGTCCATAAGCTGTCATTGAACAGGCATGCTCATTTTAAGGCATTAGCTACTGCTGCTTTTATGCTGCCCATGCAGAAAAATCAATGGCCCACAAAGCCTAAACAGTCACATATAGATGCTTTGGGGGAAGAGACTGCCAACTCCTGCCTTAGCACAAGGCTGAAGTAATCATTCCCATGTGTCTTTCAAAAGAGCGGTGAGGAAAATGAGAATCACCTCACAAATATAGAAGTATGGTCACCTTTTACCAAGGGACAGACTCTTTGTGCTCGGGCCACAAATATCTTTAGAGAATGAGATGGAATGAGTGATTTCAGTGACATCTAGCGCTATTAACATCTGGTACTTTTAATACTTGGTCTGTTAGTATCTTCAGACTGTAACATCGGCAAAGTTTAATTTTGGGAGGAGGGTTGATGTGTTATTTTCAGTTTTGTCTTCTATATTATAAACATACTACACAGTAAATGTTAGGCTCTTGACCATAGATATTCAAATAGGCATGTTTAATATGACATTAAATGCTTTAATGAAAGAACACATTAGGACATGAAAGATGCAGAGTAGGAGGTGGAGAGAATAAGAATCCATTACAAACGCTTTGTTTAAAAATGCTGTGACATTTATTCCTTTGCAGGCTAGTTTAAAAATTATGCTGCAGGGAACTTTAATTTTCTAAGTTTGACTCTATAGCCATAAACTAAGCTCTAATATGCTAGGTTTCAACTGTTGCTAAAGGTTTGATTTTTTTTTAAGTTAAACTTTTTTGTTTGTATGACTCTTTTTTTCCCTGCACATATGTATGCATGTGGATCATGTGTGTGCTTGGTACTTGAAAATATCAGAAGGTGGCACTGGAGACACTGAACTTGAGTTATGGATGATTACGAGCTACCATGTGGATGCTAGGAATTGAACCCTGGTCCTCTGTAAGAACAAGTGCTCTTAACCAGAGCCATCTCTTCAGACCCCAGAAGCCTTAAATAAACCAGAACAAGATAGTTCTGGAATTAAAATTGCCTTCTAACAGCTCTTTCGGCAAATTGGTAAAATATTTAAGCTAAAAGTAACATTTAAGCCTATTCAAGTACAATTATAATTACTAAAGTAAGGGTTAGGGATGCAGTTGACAGAGTGCTGGCTGAGCATGCATAGCCCTGGATTCAATCTTTAGGTTCACATAAACTAGGTGTGGTGGTGCATCCTGTGCACCAGGGAGGTGGAACTGGAACAAATAAGAGTTTAAAGTTATTCTTAGCCATACAGCAAGTTCAAGAGCAGTTTGGGGTTCGGGAGGCCCTGTCTTAACAGAACAAAACAAATAAGCAAATACAAAAATGAGGCACGGGGAACACCTATAATCCCAGCACCAGGAACAGGAGTCCAAGGCTAGTCTGCACTACATGAGACACCCTCACTTAAAACAAAATCATAAGAAGTTTCTTACTCTGTGAACCCCTTCCACTTGAGGAAATACTCCACCTTCCCATTCACTACACGCCGGTCCAGTACTTTTTCTACCACAAATTCTTCAGGCTCTGCCTCTTCAACTTTTTTACTCTTTCCATTCTGTTTCTTTCCCATTTTTTGCTAAAACAAAAGAGAAATTAAGAAAATTAAAAAAAAAAAAACTTGAGTACATTTTAAGGCCAAATTGACACAATTTACTTTTTGACAAAAAACAAACAAAACACCACCCCCTTTTAAACTTCTGTGACCCAGGGTAGGCACATCCTAGAAAGTCAACAGATAATAAAATAAAAGCTCCGCTCCACTGATTTACACTTAAAACCCAATACCCTTCATCAGTATGACAGAACTAAAAACAACAACAAAAAATCTGAGAAATAACCTTATCCTTTCCTAGTTTTATTTCCAGGACTCTACAAGACTAGAATCACCACTCATTTTAATCACAGCATAGTGACAAATAACTAGAAAACACGAGAAAATGACAGAGAATGGAGTAAATATTAGTAGTTGGTGGTTTGAATGAGAATGTCTCTATATGGTTGGTTCCCAGGTGATGCAACTGTTTGCGAATTGTGCATCCTTGCTGGGGGTGGGGCGTGGGGGTGGCAGCTTGGCAGTGCACACTTGGAGGTTTCAAAAGCCAATGCCATTCCCATTTAGAGCGCTCTCTTTGCCTTGTGCTTGAAGATCAAATGCAACCTCTCAGCTACTACTTCGGTGCCATGCCTGTTGCCATCCTACCAGGATGGTCATGGACTCATCCTCTTAAATTATAAACCTCAACAAACTTTTCTTTAAGTGCCCTTGGCCATGTTTTATCACAGTAAAATAGAACTAAGAATGAAGTGTGATAGTAAAAAAGAAAACAAACCAACAAAATACTCAAGCCAGGGTCACATATAGCCCAGGTAGTCTTCAATTCACTATGTAGGCAAGGAAGACCCTAAAAGTCTCAATCCTTTAGCTTCTACATCCCAAAGTACTAGGTTTATAGATGTGCACCACCACACCTCACTAAATGATAGAACTAAGTGTAGCAGAGTAGACCTATTAAAACTGAAGCTCTAAGATATGGCTTTCCCAATGACAGTAACAATTTAAAATTGTTTTAAGGATAAAAATTAGCTCCAACCATGGAGACCATGAGTAAACTAAATGGACAATATTGTTTTCCCATAATTATTACATGAAGATAATTTTCCTGACTAACAAACCTTATACTATCACTTTAAATGTCCAAAATGGTGGATTTTTCTTTAAGTGGTAGAAAAATTCCTTCCCTACTGGGTTTTTTTTAACTTAGAATCTTAACTGGTAGCAGGCTATATTTACTCTGAAGAGAGGCATGAGGTAGAAGTGATGAGCTTTTTAGCAGCATCCAGGAAGTCAAAATAGGTTGATTACCATGGGTTCAGGGTCAACCTGAGATATGGAGGAAAACGGTGTTCCTAAAATCAAGTTCTTTCTTTCTGGTGAAGGTGGGTGGGTATAACATCACCCATTAGTGTTTTCTCAGCACATAAGCAGGATTGTTAAAGGAGTAGAAACTAGGTGCATAAAATCTTGAGATGGTTAATTTTAAGCCCCTATGGGACACCACAACAACACAATGCAGTATGCTCAAACATTTCATCTCCACAACAGCAGCCAATTCTAACCTTTAAATGCCTGTGATTCCCCTGACTCAGTCTCCCCCAGTGTTAGCATTATAGGTATGCACAGGTGCTACTTAAGTGCATCAAAACAAGCCAAATCAAATCAAAACAAAACCAACCAAACAAAAACCCTCAAAAGCCTAGTCACTAAAACCATCTCCTAAACGAAGGATCCAAACAGGAAAAACCAACAGCAGCACCCAAGGCAGTTAAACCTACTAGCTTCTAGGAGTATACCTAGACAAACCGTCCTATGGAATTTACCAGGTGAGTCATGTTTTTGTTATTTTTCAAGACAGGGTTACTCTGTGAAACAGCCCTGGAACTCACTTTGTAGACCAGACTGGCCTCAAAATCACAGGAGACCCATCTGTTTCTGCCTCCCGATTAAAGGCGTGTATCACCACACCTGACCTAATGACTTGTGCTTATTATCACTAAGGCTTTAACCTATATTTGGTCATTTATCAACAGTGATCAGACAGGTTCAGATCACAGATCCTAGTCAGCTCTGCAGAGTACTTACAAGTCATGCACAATATAATGATGGCACAAATTAAAAATCACCATCTTGTCCTTTCCAGTGGCAAACTCTGGAAGACACTACACAGACCAAAACTAAGTTTTGTTTTACTTATGTGTTAATACCTGCCTTTATATGCTGGTAATCAATGTATTAGTATTAAAATAGAAACCCTAACAGCAAAATTCATCTTTTAATATAGTCCAGGCTAGCATTAAACTCACAGCAATCTGCTTGTCTCCGCTTCTCAATATGCTGGGATTACAAACATACACTATTAGACCCAGTGTTCCCCCCAATTCCACAGGGTTTCTTGCGTAACAGTCCTCACTGTCCTGAAACTTGCTCTATAGACCAGGCGGGCTTTGAATTCAGAGATCCAGCCTCTGAATTTTTGGAATTAAACCTCTGGACCTTTGGGATTAAAAGCATGTGCTGCCACTGTCCAGCTGACCCAGTTTTAATCTAATTTTTTTATTTTTACTATAACTTGACAAAAAAGAGTATGTCTTTATAAATTTGTCTAACTTACTAGAAACCCAAGAATACAAACATTGGGTTTAGTAATCCTCAGGAAATTGCTCAAAAGATACAGAATTGATCTACTGTTCTTTCATTCCTAGACACAGTTCTTGCTCATGGCAACAATACTTTGTTATATTTCATTCACTTTGTGCACAAAATACCGTTTTAAACTTCTGCATTAATGAATACTGTGTACCTACAATTCAGCAGATTTAAGGATCTTATCAGTCAACTAAAACTTTATAGATTTCCCAACATTTTTCTCACAATTAAGCTCATTAAGAACATTATCATGTGGTAGCAGGAAACACTTTGATGGAGATCAGGAACAATCTTGTAGGTTCTGTCCTCTCCCCTTCCACCTTTCCTTGGGTGAAGATTGAGCCATCTTGCCAACCCTACATATGAATCTTTACCTCAAAATAAGAACATCCAGCTAAAGATGTACTATGTGGTCTTCCTAAGATTAGGTTTTAAAAGACGCCAATTAAGAATGTTTCAAGATTAACAACTCAAGGTTTTCTTCAGAGTGCTGGCTGGGAAATACACAAATATGTAAATAGCCTGGCTTCAAACCCACAGCCATTCATCTGCTTCTGCTGGGCTTAAAGGCAGACACAACCATGTTCTGCCTTTAATTTTTTTCTCCCTGGACCCAGGGTTTCTCTGTGTAGCCCTGGCTGTCCTGGAATTAACTCTTTCTGCAGACCAGGCTGGCCTCCAACCCAGAGATTTGCCTGTCTCTGCCTTCAGTGTGCTGAGATTAATGGCGAGTGCCACACCTTAAAGGTTTCTTAGTTGTAATTTTTAAAGAACAAAAAAATTCTTCCGTTAAGATTCTTACATGTTTTAGGGTTTCACAAACTTACCAATGTAGTTTTATTGGAGGCCATTTTTTTTTAAAAAAATCGAAGACTTGAAGAGCTATTGCGAGAAAAAAATGCATGACAGTTAAATTTTCATGACACACAAAAGGCAACTCTAAGTTTTGTGTGGATTTCAACCTGCACATTTCAGATAAAAATGCAGGGAAAACAGTTCTGAGATCCTATGTTATTAGAGATACATAGTTAAGTATGTTAGTGCTTTAATCAAGTTAGTAAAGTTAAAACCTTACCAAGGACACTGGTACCTCAGACTTTACTTGGTTATAATACATAATTACTTTTCCAATGTAAATCTTATTTGTAACAAATACAATGTTTATTTTCTACGAAAGGCAATCTTCTGTTTGAATATCAAGCATCATCAATTAATCTTTATCAATTACCATGATTTTTTTTCCCCGCTAAATATCTGAATAGTCCAAGAAACTCGTGTATAATTTTATTTTTATTTTTTCAGAAGCCGTCCCTCTTCAATCACGGAGTAAGATAAAAACACTGTGTCTCAGTCCTATTTCCTGGCCTTTTGAGGGGGAGGGGGGAACACTCTATTTCTGGGCTTCCACTCTAGGCAATACTCCTGCCTCAAGCTTCCCAAGCCCCGTCCTGCTAAAGCTGAAAGGAATTGCCCTCCTCCACGCCCGCTCCTCTTCGAAGAGGACCCCTTCCTTGCTCGATTCCCTCGTCTACCAGGCCACGGCCAGGAGCCCGCCCCCCACTCGGGAGCGCGGGCCTCGTGGTCAGCGCCTCCGCGGGGAGAAACAAAGGCGGCGGCGGGGGCTCAAGGGCACTGCGCCACCAGCCCGCGCCTCCTCCTCCGGCGGCGGCCACGTAGC